GGCAGTGTTTAACTTCTTTTTTTATTTTTATAGAGCCTCACAGCTAAGAGTTTGCCTTAAGCCTCCGAGGAAACTTTGAACTTGGACTTTTCAGCAATGCTAGAACTGTTTGGACTTTGGCAACTCTTAGAGACGGACTAACTGCAATTTGCATAAAGAGACGTTCATGAATCTTTTGGGAGGCCAGGGGTTTATTTCTAGATGTCCTTTTTAACCTTCCTGGGATTAGAGGTGGAAACTTCGAAAGGTGATTAATTATGGGGGTATTATAGCTGACTTGTTAGGAGGTGGGGCCTGGTTGGAAGAGGTGGGTCACTGAGGGCGTGACCCAGAAGGTTATAACTCCCTTCCCAGCTCCTCCCTTGACACACTGCTTCCTGAAGCCATGAGGTGAGCAGCTTTCCCTTGCCCAGGTCCTTCCACCATGCTGTTCTGCCTTGGAGCCAGCTAACTGTGAGCTGAAACCTCTACAAACTGTGAGCCAAAATTAGCCCTTCTTCCTTTAAGTGGAGGGTGTTGGGTACTGGGTCTCAGTGATGAGAAACTGACTAAGACACTGGGTAACTTTATAGAGAAAAGAGATTTATTTGCTCAGTTTCCAAGGTTCAAGTACACAGCACCAATATCAGCTCAGCTTTTGAGGGATTCACAACAGATGTACCATGATGGTGGGAGAAAAAGAGATCACGCTGCACAACAGAAAGCCAGAGAGAGGCTGGGGTCCCCCACCCCTTCGAAGGAAATACCCTTAATTTACTAAGGACTACCTACTAGGCCTTACCTTTTCAATATCTTACCACATGTTAATATTGCCATACTGATGACCAAGTTTCCAACACATGAACTCTCAGGGGACAAAAACCATGTCCAGAAAAATTTGACAGTGCCACCAGGGCCTCACTATAATTCTTGTAATCAGTGAGTTGGGATCCTCAAAGCCACTCTATCTATCAGCTTAGTTTACATTTTGCTGCATATTAGACAAGCCCTAAACCCTCAGGGACTCATAATAAATGTGGTGTGTTTCTCATTTGCCATCACAGTCCCCCAGCTGGTGGGCTGTGGCTGGGCTTATTTTCTCAGAAGGAGCAGCTCCTATCTGAGATCTTGCTTGTCCCACAGTAGAGAGATAGGACAGTGGAATCCTGGCCATTGTGAGTTCTACTTAGCAGCCACAAACATCATGGCAGTCACATTACATTTGCCAGAACAAGTTACATGGCCAGGCCTGACAGCAACATGTAGGAGATGCAGAATCCTCCCGCAAGGCGAGGCAGCAAATATTTGGACAATAATGCAACCTACCATGAGGCCAGCTGGATGAGGAATTGACCAACGGCAAAAGCTCTTCATCCTCCGCCAGGTCAAACAAGCCAGTGCACTGAGATAAAGTCACAATCGTCAGTGTTAATTTTTAATTGTGCTTTGTCCTCTTCACTTTCAAACTATAGTGAGGTCTTTTGTTGTTGTTTTTCTGTTTGATTTTTGAGACTAGATTTCCTATGTTGCCTAGGCTGCCTCAAACTCTTGATCCCCTGTCTTAGCCTCCTGAGTACCTGGGCTTACAGGGATGTGCCACCATTCTCAGCTGGTTTTATTTTTTAATTAATCTAAAATTGCTGTTTGGTGTGGTCCACAGAGAAGCAAAACACTGCTCTTCAACAAGAAGCCACTCATTGCTAGTGAGGACGTAAAACAGCAGAGCCACTTTGGAAGACAGTTTGGTGGTTTCTTACAAAATTAAACATACTCTTATCAGCCCATGGGAAGACTGAAAGTGGGGCTTAAATGCATATCACCAAGTAAAAGAAGCCCATCTGTATGATCTACGAGACATTCTGGAAAAGGCAAAACTATGGAGGCAATAAAAGGACCGGTGGTTGCCAGTGGTTGGGGGAGGGAAGAACAGGTAGAGCAGAAAATTTCTAGGGCAGTGGCAATACTCTATGACACTGTACTGGTGGACAGAGAACATCACACATGTGTTCAAACCCATAGAATGTACACGCAATGTGCTCTAATGTAAACTACCAAGTTTAGTTCATGAAAATGTACCAAAAATAAAAATAGAAAATAAATGCCTAGACAGCGCTCTTAGGAGAACATCAGGGGAACCAGCCAGGCCAGAGGCTAAGGATGGCAGTAGCTGACTCTGTGCTGGGCACCTCCCTGGGAAGCAGTGGTGTGTGAGCTGCCTTGCAAAGCCTCTCCGTGCCCATCTGTAACCTGGGTGCTCATGCCTTGCACACAGGGTTGGGGAGAGACTAGACATATGCCATGTAGTCCCCAGGGTCTGGCTGAGAGTGCCAGTAAAGCAAGGTGTGGCCCGAATTACAGCTTACATCCTAAAGAAAGGAGTCAGGCCCTTTGGTCCCCCTATCTAGCGAGCTTTCTAAGCTCCAAGAGTAGCCCCACCCTCACACTGACACTAGAAACTTGGGGAACTTCTCGGTACCTGATCCCTTAACCAATCCAAGCCATCTGCTGGTCCCAGTGGCTCTCCCACCTATTATATCTTCTAGTACCTTCCACCCCACCTTCCTCGGCTGTGGCTCACTATTTCAGAAGCACCCCGCAGGCCTCAGGGACTTCACACTGGCTGTTTCCTCCAAGGGCTGCACTGATCTCACCCGTGTGTCACCTGTGAGGGCCTGGTGGGGCTTCCTGGCGTGTCCTGTTAGACACACCAGCCTGCTGTCTGGCTCTTTTAGCTGACACTGATCACTCTCCTATGCTCTACAGCTCCTTTATTGGGCTTCTTCTATTACCTCCTGTGAGAGGAGGCTCTGGGAGCAGGGAATTTCATCTTTAATTCTTCCTGTGTCTCTGGTACCCAGAACAGAATCTGGCATGCAGAGGCCCTGAAATACTGGCCATCCAGCATCTCTGCCTAGCCCTTCTGATGGCTCTTCTGCTCTCCACCCAGCACCATCTCCCCTAGCTTCACTCCCTCTTAGGGCTCCCTATTGCCTGCAGACAAAATTCAACTTTTGACCAAGCCCATTTGGCCCAGGAAGGGACAAGAGCTTAGCAGGGAGGGCCAGGGAAAGGAGCAGGCATACCCAATGCACATTCCCCCAACAGTGTGTAAGCCCATGAGCCTCCCAAAGAGGGCCACTCAGCCTTCCCTCTCCTTCCTTATCCTGGCCTTCTGGCTCACCCTTCCTCCCTCTCAGCTTCTGTCCAAGCTGTCCTCTTGGGGGTTCCCGGAGCTTCGGAAGTCCAGGTCCCCCCTACCCCTGCCCAGAGCAGTCCCTTCCCAGCCTTTCCCATGTGGTCACTGCTTCATTGTTATGCAGGTTAACAGCTCTGCTCTTTCTGCCTAGCCTGTCCATGAGACAGGACATTGCAATGGTTTCATCTTGGATGTCCAGGGTGTGGACTAGAGGCTCACATGCTTGTTCCTATGATTGATTATCATTGGCACAGGTGAAAAAGATAACTTTCCAGCAGTGCCACTGATATCATTATTTCTGTAACTGTCCTCACCTGAGAGTCAGAGGACACCAGATCTGGAAAGTGCTGCGGACATTTCTCAGCCCAGATGGGGGAAACTGAGGCCTCCCGAGGGAAAGAAGGGCCTTCGGGGATCACCAGTGTGACTCACAACACAATGCTGCTTCCCCATGGAGGGTGGGCTCCAGGTTCCTGCTGTGGGGTCCTGCCAGAGGGTCGAAACCACACTCAAGCGTCCCCACACAGCCCTCACTGCTTTTGAAAAAGTCACCCTAGAGAGAGACCAGGAATCGGGGCAGCAGGTGAGCAGCACCCCCAGGTCTCTGTGATGGGGGCAGGGGTGTGAGAAGCAGAGCAGGGTACAGAGGCCTGGCACAGCTGAACCTGCACTCAGAGGGCTCTGCCTCAAGGACCCCGTCAGCTTTCCTCACCAAGAGCAGGCACTCAGAGGCCCTGTGTGCCCACTGCCTGCATGCCAGACTATCAAGTAGCACACCACACTCCTACCTCTGCTGTCCACCTCAGAGGACAGGCCTTTTCCTGGCCCACAAGTAGAAATGGGGAGCCTCTCCCCACAGGAGCACTTGGAAGCCTGAAGCAGGTCTCCCCAGTGTACCAACGGGCTGCTGTTGGCCTAGCAGAAGGCAGCAAGCCCTGGGCCCCTTGGGAGATGTGGGGGGCATTTCCTGGTGCCTGGCCCCAGCTGGGCCTTGCAGGCAGTTGGGGGAAGGTTATGATAATTATGCACCTACACCCCACCCCCCAGATCCATACAGCCCTACAATCCCCAGTTCTCATTTTCTCCTCACCCAGGGCACTAGCAGAAATACTGCCAGCTTTTCTGGATTTGTGATTTTATGTCACTCTTTCCATTATAAGCCCCAATTTTCAGAGGTGTATAGATCAGCTATTTAAAAAAATAAAACCTTCCCCATGGGCCAGGGATTTAGCTAAGTGGTTCTGCCGCCTGCCTCGAAAGCACAAGGTCTCGAGTTCGATCCCGATACCCGGTACCAAAAAAAAAAAAAAAAACCCCTCCCCTTTTGACTAAAAGGAAACACTTTGAAACTAGTAGGCTAGGGGAGTGCCAGTACATGTATGGGGGCCAGGGCATGGCCCCTTGTCTTCTTCCCTCTCTCCCACCAAGGCCATGATTCAGCCCACCCTTAGGGGACCATGGAGGTGTTGGGGCCCCTTCTTGTGAAGGGTACTACAGTGAGGAGCTGTGAAGTGTCTGGTCTAACCCTTGCAGTGCACATTAGAACCTAGCTCCCTGCTGGTTTCTTTGGAACAAGGGACTCCAGTCAACTGGGATAGATGCTTATTTTGGACCAAGAGCAGCAGGTGACGAGTGCCTGGCCTGCAGCAGGTGGGCTCGCCTGGCCAAGAGAAGGGCCCCTCCCTTTTGGACAGACTTCACCTTGCCCAGCAGCAGCAGGAGTATTTGGTCCGCTCTCCCAGCCCCCACCCCCCGTCCACTATGTCCTGCCTATCTCCCAGCTTTGGCGTGCAAAGGTGTACAAGCACAAGCACAAGCAGACAGATTTGCAGCATTTTTGGCCTCTTTATTTAGAACCCGGCGGACGAGGAGCCGGGGCAGTGGTACAGACGGCTCAGGAACCATTTTTAACAGATTTGTCTTCAAGTTTAAAATAATAATAATAATAATAATAATAATAATAATAATAATAATAATAATGAGAGGCAGCGAAAGCGTGAAAAGACTGCAAGCTAGATGGGTATGTATGGAAGCTAGCTTGTGAGCAACCTCCTCCCCTAGAGCCCACTGGAAAAATAAATTCAACTTGCTGATAATCTGATGTGGGTGAAATATAGTGCCTTTGGCATAACCAATAACCGAGCAGTTGCGTGGCAGAGACCCACGCCTGGACATAAATAGAAAATATAAGTTAGTATAACTTTAAAAAGCTTTTGTACAAATATACATGTTTTTTATTTTTTCCTCTTTTTTCTTTTTTTCCCTTTTATCTTTTTTTTTTCTTTTTTCTTTTTTCTTCTTTTATGCACTGAGTTTCAGCAGAGATTAAACATTTTATATATAAATGACTCTTAAAGCTTTACACCTTGGGACCAGTGTACTCCATGTGCAGAATATATTTAAGTAATAGCGACGCTATCAATACATTGCACAGTTTTCAGATTTTAAACACAAAACCGTAGGCTGCGCTGCGGCTGCTGCCACCGGTTGCTGCTAGAAGTACGGTCCCGCGAGGCCCCCCGCTCATCCATCGTCCGCTGCCCAACAAGCTCCCCGTGCTCCTGGGGGTCTAAACTGAAGGGAGGGCGGCAGTGAGGAGTGTGTGGGGGGAACGCCCCTCCACGACCCCCCTCCCAGGGACCCCAGACTCACCTAACTCATCTCAGCCGCTTGCGCGGGGTTTGCTCCGCCCCGCCAATCCCAGGAGGTGCGCCAGCCGGGGGACACCCCGGGGGTACATCTCCGGAGGACTTGCTCTCGGGCGCAGATCTCTTCCGTTTGGCGAAGAAATCTGCGGGCGACAGAGCGCACCGAGGGTCAGGGCGGGGCGGGGCCGGGAGACTCGAGAGGGGGCCGGGAGAGGGCTCGGGGCGCGGGGCTGGGGTGGGGACGCTGTCCCCGCCCGCGCCGAGGTCCGCGGCGGGTCAGCTTTGTTTACGTCGCCGCGCAATGTGCTGTGTAAGCATTTCCCCTTGTCCCGCGGCCAAGCCCCCCGGGGCTGCCGCGGCGCTTAACCCCCTCAGCGCCGCGCTCTCCGAGCCCGGCCGCGCAGGCAAAGGGCTCCAGCGGCCGCCGCCCCAGACTGTGCTCTCGGGGGTCCAGGCACACCCTCCCGTCGCGCCTTACCGAGCCACGGACTAATGCCACGGCCCAGAGAGTAGGGGTGCGGCTGTAGCCGCACCCTGCGCGCCGCGGGCCCTTTAATGCCACGGGAGGAGGCGGGGACCGAGCGCGGCCCCCGAGGACTGGAGAGAGCCCGGCCAGCCGGACAAAGCGGGGCCGGGCCGGGGCGGGGCCGTGCGGGGCTCACCGGAGATGAGAGGCCCCGACAGCTTCTTGATCGCCGCGCCGTTGGCGCCGGCCACCGCGGTGCCGGCCGCGGGACGTCCCGGAATCCCCGAGTGCAGCGAGTCGGCGAGCGGCTCGGGGCCGCGCTGCGCCTGGTTCGCGCCCGGCTCGGCGCTGTCCTGAGGGGCCGCGTCCGCGTCAGGGTCCGGGTCCGAGCCCAGCTCGGAAGCGGAGACCGAGGCCGGAACCAGCGCCGGGACCAGCGGCGGGGCCATCACCGGGGCCAGCGGCGGGGCCATCACAGGGGCCAGCGGCGGGGCCACTGCCGGGGCCAGCACTGGGGCCACCGCCGGGGCCGCGACGGCGGCTAGGGGCGGAATGGGCACCGGGGCCGGGGCCGGGGCAGGAACGCTGGGCGTCTGCCCCGGCTCTTCATCCGGGCCGTCGAGGGACTTAGCGGTAGGCGGTTCGCGGGGCGGGATGACAGCCACGACCACCGGGGGTGGCCGGGGCGCCAGCAGCAGACGACAGCGCCCCACCTGCACCGTCTCGCGATAGAAGGCGGGCACGGAATCGCTGTCCACCTCGGTCCACTGCAGGCGCCCAGGGCCCCGGAGCGGCACGTCCTGCTGGAAGTTGAAGTCCCAGCGGTTCTGGTCCTCAGCAGCCAGCTCGGCTAGGCGCATCCGCAGCTCACGGCCCAGCTCCTCATGGTCCACGGGCCCGAAGAGGCTACGGCAGGCGCTCGTGCGCGCCATCACAGGGACGTTTCCACCGGTGACCAGGCGCTCCATCGCAGAGGTGCTGCGGAGGCACACGTCGGACATGATCGGGAGCTGTGCAAGCCCAGGCGGCGAGAGAGGAGAGGGGAGCGAGAGAAGAAGGAAGAGAGGAGAGAAGGGCGGAGGCCGGGCGAGAGAGACCCAGCACGGCCGAGTCCGCGCTTGCAAAGGGGCGCGTTGGGAGAACGGGCGCGGTGGCTACCTGGTTGTCCGGTGGTGGACGGTTCCCGTGTCTCGTTCGCTGGTCCTGTGTGGCTGCAGCCGCGCCCCCTCGGAGCTGCCTGCCTGCCTGCCCGCTGGCTCGCTTGGGCCTAGCCGGCACCCCTCGAGCACAGCGCACTTGGCCTGCGGAACGCCCCGCAGCCTGAGCCCCTTTATACGCGCGGGCCCCACCCCCGCGCGCGCGGGGCCCCGCCGCGATTAGCATAATGTAGTATTTTCAGTTTCAACAACACCACGGCGATTGGCTGGTGCCGCGCCGCCCCGCCCCCAGCGGACCGGCCCCCGCGCGCCGCCCATTGGCCGCGCGCACACACCCTGGGCTGGGCGGGGCCCGCGGCCGGACGCGGCTGATTGGCGGCCGCGCGAGCGCGCCTTGGCGGGCGGGGGGCGGGGCGCGAGTTAAAGGGCGCTGCGGGCGGTAACGTGACACCGCGGCGCCCCGCCCCCTCGCCCCATTCCCCCCCCCCTTCTGCCTCCTCCCCCCACCGGCTCCTTTGTCTCTGGCGGGGGCTGCACGGCGCGGCGCTGGCACCCCCTCGGCCGGCGCGGTGAGCAAGGCCCTTGGCGGACCCGGCGTCCGGCCAGGCCCCAGTGTTCTCCATTGGGCCCCCTGCGCCAGCTGACTGGGCTTTAACACTCCGCTGCCAACTCGTTCCTGGCCCGAGCCTGGTCTCGGGCCGCCCCGGCGCAGCCTGCGGCGCCCGCTCTTACATCCTGCCCGCAAGGGATCCGTGCACCTGAGGCCACAGCACACCTGCTGGCCCTTGGGCCTCGAGCGGGGAGGAGGGTCAGGGTCAGCTCAACTCTTGCCCGAGGGTCCATGTGAGAAAGACGTTGGGCACCAGGATCAGCTCCCCGAAGCCAAATCCTTGAGCCCACCTGCCCAGTGGACGGGACACAGGCCAAGTCCATCCTGCGCTGCGCGGTTCGTCTCACCGACCCGGTGCCCAGCCTTCTCCGGCTTGGGCCAAGCCCCGCCAGGTCCAGGATCTGCCCTCCAGGCTGGCTGGAGGCTACCTAAAGGAAAGAAACTGCCTGAGGTCATAGGGGAAAGGCCTTTGAAGGACTGTGCCCTTCCCCCACAGCCCGCTTCTTGGTGCAGCTTGGGGGCAGAGAGACATAAACACACACTAAAACCTGTGGCTCCTGTCTCCTAGGCACAAGCCCGCAGGGAGACTAATTTTCTGCTGCCTGAACCGGTGCAAGGCTCCGGGGATATCCCATCCCCCTCCAAGCCAGAAACCACCCCGGAGTTGGGGTGGGGGACCAGGACTGCCAGTCCTCTAGGAGGGTCTTGCACAGCCCTCAAGGCCTGGCAGAGAAGCCTCCCTCCAGGGGGAGGGAAAGTGAGGCCGATCGTCCACCCCACTAGCTGGCCTCTCCTGGGGTCGGATGCTTGCAGGACTCCCCAGGGAGTGGTAAAGGGAAAGTGGAGGTGAACTGAACCGGAGAGGTGAGGAACAGGGTGAAGGGACATTCTTGGCTCCTGATGGTGGGACCGAAAGTGGTGGCTTGTGTGACTTTCACTTTTTCCTCTGTATATTCTAAATTTTCCACAAGCACAGATGTCACAATTTTTTTTTTTAATCTTCAGGAAAATAGAAGAGGATGACAACTTCCCAAGGAGCCCAGGAACTCCTGGAGCAGGGCTGGTGGGAACTGGCCTGGGGACAGAAGAAGACAGCCTTGTTCCATCCTGTGCTAAAGCCATGCCAGTCCCCCACAAACCCAGGGCACAGCCACACTGGGTAGTGATCACATGGCCCCAGAGTGTTCTGAAAGGTCCAGATATGGGGCTTCAACTGTCCAGGAGGGCAGGCCAGGGAAGACCTGCCCCAGCCCACAGCTCGTGCATGCGCTGCACGAGGTGTTTGTGCACCCCCAAACTCAGCCCTCATGATGCACCCCATGGGATACCACCCTGTTGTATGGGAGAAGCAGTAAAATGCCTACGTAGTCCTAGGTTGGTGCCAAGGCCACACAGCTGGGAGGGAACAGGGCTGGGGCACCCCCGTCCTACTTTCTGGTTTGGCTTCCACTCTGGCATCCTTTCTGCTACCATGCCAGCTTAATTATGGGATCATTATCAGGTGCCACAGTCTCTCCTTCTCCCGCCCTCATTAGTGCAGGGGAAGTAACCTTCTCCACGTCTGTGTCTTGGAATACTATGAAGGATGGTACCAAAAGTTGTGTTAGACTTGGTCCCAGGGGTGGGATCGAGTGCCCCCCACACACCTGAGCCAGGAACACACCTGGACAGAGACCCCCCAGGAGCTGGGGGCTGGGCATCAAGAAGAAACCCAACCCTCCACTCCAAGGGGCCTGGAAGCAAGCAAACATTGTCAGGGTACAATAATCCCGTTCTAGTTTTGTAATTAAAAATACATCCAAAGGGAAAAAGGAAACAAAAAGAACAATATTTGTACTCTGTTGTTGCAGAGAGCTGAAGTGGGGAGGGGGTGCTGGTCTCAGAGGAGTGGGCTGGGCACAGCAGGGACTGGTTTCCTGGGCTGAGTGCCCCCACTCCTGCCTGCATGGTAGGGGGGAGGGCACTAACCAGGATCCCATACCTGGTCCCTCTGAACAGTGTGCATGTTTTCCTGTGACTTGCCCAGCAAGAGAGGAAAGACGGAGAAAAAGCAATGCGTGAGCTCAGCTTCTTTGCTTTCCTTTGAGCACGCAGGAAGACCACACTTTCTATGCCCTCTGCAACCAGGTGGGGCTCTGAGATCGGTTTAGTCCGGGAACTCGGCAGAAATGCGGCCACTTCACATAGTCCGTCCACTGTCCAAGTAGTCCTGCTGCTCCCCCTGCTGGCCAGACGAGGAACTCGGCCCGCGGACAGCAGCAGCCCCACCAGCAAGTGGCTCGCTCACCCTCCTGGGGACGGCAGTAAGGAGTAGACTTAGTGTCTTGAGCTCCTGAAAGTGAGATGTTTCTTCGGTGACCGGCATTAGGGACTCTGGCTAGCACATATGACAGGCAAGTACTTCTGCGAGCACTGGTAATAAGGAAACCTGCCAGAGGAGATTAAATCCTCCCTGAAGATCCAGGTGGTCAACGCAGAGTGAATCCACACAATCCAATTCCCCGCCCGAGCTCCCAGCCTGATTCCTGAGCTCTACTGTGGGAAAGATCCACAAATCATCACAGATACGGTCCCAGCCCTCCTGGACGCTTGTTCTTCGGGGAAACCGATGCAGTTAAACCAGCTCAGTTCTGGAGGAGCCATACATGTGCCTGTCCCTGCAACACCCCCACTACTGGTCGGTCCAGCTGTAGAGACTGAGGCTCCCCGCGGGAACCACAAAAGTGCGGATCTCCCTGCGAGCAAGCAGCAGAACCGAGCAGCCCAAGAGGTCCTGTCATTGGCCTCTTGCTGCCCTCTGGTGGCGGACTTCTGCACCAGCACCTCACCTGGCTGCCCAAACTCCCTTGCGATGGCGGTGGTGTTCGCTGCTTCCCTGGTGTGGTCATCCCCTGAAAGATGTGTGCTTCAGTAGGCTCCCCAGGACCAGGGATAGCTGTTCTGTGTCAGGCCCACCCTGTGCGAGGGCCCCGGGGAACCTAGAGTTTGGGATGTGGGGTGCCTGTCCTGGGGTGTCTAAGGATGGGCCTGGGACTCTTCCCTCCCCCTGACCCAAGTTCAAACCTGCTTCAGGCTGGTTTCCTGTGTTCAGAGGCCCTGGGCTGTCTTTTCAAATAAACTAAGGCCTTGAAAAATTTTCCACCGCGCCATGGGCCACGTGCCATCTATCACGACAGGAAGCTGGAAAGAGCAGTCACCAGTCACAGCCAGGAGCTGGATGTCACCCACGGCTGCTCTGGGAGCCCCTAGATGAGTGCCCTGGCCACCCGGAAGTTCTCTGAGGGGTCCTACCTTCTGCTCCCTCCCCAACTGCTGTCCAAGTGATGCCCTTTCTGAGCAGTCCGAAACAAACAATGACATCCCAGGTGTCTCAACCTTGTGCTCCTCAGGGACCTGCCCTCCACAGGGCTGGGCTTCTTGCAATGTTTAATCCATCCAATACCCTGGAGAGGGAGGCCTTTTCATGCATATTTTGTTAGGGAGGCGACAGAGGCTCAGAGCTGAAGCAACCTGCTTGAGATCACCCAGCAGCCAAGGCAGCACTGAGACCTGTCGCTGGATTTGCCTTTCACCCAGCCCTGAGCCCTTCCAGAGGACTTCTGTGAGCAAGGGTCTTGAGTGAACCCCTGGAGCTAGGGGTGGACGTCTGTATGGCAGACCTTGCTGAGGGACTGCTGCGCCGGGAAGGACCACCTCCTTGGCCTCAAGCTGCATCACTTAGCAGGGGGCACTTGGGCCAGACCCCTGGGAGCAGCTCTCCAGCCTTGAGCTCCGTAAATTGGGATGCGGAGGCCCGAAGGGCTCGGGGAGTTACAGATTAACCAGCTGGCTCCCAGCAGCAGGCAGAGCCTGGCCAGGCCTAGCGCCCGCCGCTGCAAACGTCTCTCCCGCACCAGCTCCCGCGCCGGCTCGCCCCGCCCCGCCCAGGACGCGCTGTTCTGGGGCTGCTGCCAAGCACGTCCTCCTAAGGTGTCGGCCTCCCTCTGGTGACGCGGCCGCACGCGGCAGCTCCGATTACAGGGGCAGCCTTGTGCTCGGGTCCAGGCCTGGGGTCCTCACTCCCCAGGAATGGGCGGGGAAGACTGGCGGGAACAAGGAACCCCCGCGGACAGGGGCCGGTCTGGTCACGTGCAGAGGCCCCTCAGAGGGAGGAGGGGGACCTAGGCCGAGTGGCCTAGGAAACCCAGGGCCACTGGTCTTCCTAGGCTCCAGACTGCCCTCTCGGGTGGGGAATGTCTACAGGGCAGGTGGGGAGCCGTGTCGCACACCCTGTCCAGCCAGCTCTGTGACCCCAGCCTTCCCTCCTCCCAGCTGTAGGACACAAGTTACGAGATCCCTGGTGACCCTGCTCATTTTGCCAGGGCAATAGCATAAAAATAAATCTTGTGAGAGCAGACTCGCTCCCCCTTGCCTCCACCACTCTTTGTCAGAGATAGTGGGGACCCCCATGAGCCAGGTTTCCCACCCACCGAGTCCACCAGGGACCCCAGGGCCCTCCAAGCCACTCACTCCCAGTACCCATGTCATGGTGTGCAGAATAGCCTAGGACCTGCCTGGAACAGAGACAGTGGGTGTGTCCCTCTGCACCCCAGCCCTCTCCTTTAGCACAGGAAATGTGGCCCGGCCCAGTCCGTAGTGACAGAGAATCAGAGAGGCAGACCCTCAACCCCATGCCTGCTGGGACCTAGAGGTGAAGGGGGCTTCCTGGGCCCTGGGAAAGACTATTTTAGACATCAGTTACACCTCTATTACATGGTGTGACCTCAATCCTGTGACGTCCCTGTGGAGGAGACTGAGCCAGAGAGGTAAGCTGACTTAGCAAGGCAAGGAAGATGAAGGAACAAGCTCCTGCCCTGGGCTGAGCCCCTTCCCATTGCACTTCGTGGTCAGGGCCTTTAGCACTCCATCCGTTCATTTTTCCTTTCTTCATCCTCTACCCCTCACACCCAGCTGAGTTTCAAGGTGAGAGCAGCTTGTTAGGCCCAGAAAGATTGGCTTCTTCCTGCCCAGACCTTCCTGACCCCAGCAGGCCAAGGGCTGCTCAGAGTGGGTGCCTAGCAGACAACAGTGTACCCCACCACCACCACCACCTCTTTCAGGGCAGCAGATCCGCCGGTGTAAAGACTGCCCCACCACCAGAGCCCAACGCTGGATGTCTGCTGCCCCCTGGTGTCCACAGGCTACAGAGCAGGAGCACAGCTGCCCATCCTTCTGGGGACACCGAGACAGCCTCTGACGACGCAGCCTCCCCATCTGTGCACCTTCAGGAGGCTTAGCAGGAAGGAGGAATGAATTTATGTATAGTTTATGTATGGCCACCTCCACTAGAGCTGCTCCCCAAGCCCCTGTCATCACTCAGGCAGCTCTGAGGCCAGCCAGGCCAGTGTGCTGCTATGGAGGCAAGATTCAGCCCTGGCCCCTTCTAGAAGCCCCTGCCCGGACTCCCCCGAGAGCTGCCTGACACAGCCACTCACTTTGGGCTGGGGTCAGGGAATTCTGAGTCCACCCTCCAAGGCTCTACTGACCCTCCAAGATGGAGGAAGAAACTGAGGCCAGGCCCACAGTGTCCACAGCAGGCTGGGGTGCCTCCCACCCCACATGGCTGTGTGTGACTCCCAGGATAGATAACTAAGCAACCCATGGTTGTGTCTGAGTACAGGGCCTGGTCCATGCGCCTCCTGCTGGCCAAGACCTGAAACTGCATGGCACCGGGGGGCTGGAAATGAGCCTTTCGGGTAGAAGCAGGCAGGGCAGGCAGAGAAGGGCAGAGCTGGGCCAGGGCGGTACAATGAGGACCTACATTGCCAAAACTGGTGAGTGCCCCTGAAGAAGTGGCATTTGAGGTGAGCCTTCGAGGGTAATAGGAGACATAAGGAAAGGGCACCTTCTGGGGCAGTCCATGCACCCCATCCCCACCTCCTGGTTGTCTCTCCATCCTCCTCCCTCCCTGCAGGTTCACACATTCTTAAAATCTTAAAACGCTAACCAAATGTGTTTCTCTTTGTTCCATTCCCCATCAGCCACTCTCCCATTTCTTGACTCGCTTTTGGGACAAAACCTCTCAAACGAGTTGTCCAGACCACCATGCTGCCTGTTCCTGGCCCCTGCTCCTGGGGTTCCCTCCCTCTCCCTGGTCAGTCCCTGGGGTCCTCCTCCTGTGTGGGGTACAGTCTTGGCCCCTGACCCCTCGACACTGGGTCATCTCTTCTGGATCAGACCCTGAATACCACCTCCATGTGCCCAGCTCAGCCCACAGCCCAGGCTGCAGGTTCCACATCCTCTCCTGGCCCTCAGCTGTTCCCACACACACACCAGCACACCAACTTTAATCCCTGTTCTCTGCCCCTGCTCTCCACCCCATCCATCCCCATGGCTAATGGGGGCCCCTCACCTTGGACTCTGCCCACACCCAACCCATCAGGGTGGGTCATCCCCACAGAGAGGAATGAAACTGCTCCTCACTTCCTCACATGCTATGATGGGCCAGGGGAGTGCAGGTCAGCACAAGCACAGGACCTGCACAAAGTAGGTGCTCAATGTTCACGGGCTGATCCAAATCTCCTACTTTCCAGCCATGGTCATGCATCCAAGCAGTGTGATCAGGGGCCCCCTCACCTGGATGTGCTCAGGAATCCTGGCCCCCGCATGCAGCAATCAAAGAGATCCTTCCCGGGACACTTGGCCACATCCCTACAGTTCCAGCCCCTCTGGGGCCACCTCCTTCCTCTGCCCCTCCTCACACACACAGCATGCCCCAGCCCCACCAGTGTTCCCAGTTTCCTGGACCCCCAGTCTTCCTGTGGTCAGCCTGAATCAGTCTCCCCGGCAAAACAGTCGTGATGTTTCACCTGGGAAAGTGCAGAGGTTTGTTGAGTGGCCAAGTGAGTGGTTGGTACCATGGGCCCACAGTCAAAGCTGCTTCCTCTAGGGGAGGAAGTCTAAAGGTCCAGAGTTCCCTTTCTTTCCTCTTGTAGCTTAAAGGGCAAATTTCCCACACTCCCTCACAACCAGGAAGTTTCCCACCCCTACTCAGCCATTCAAAACAAAAGCTAGGATTTCTTCTGCCCAACCAGTTCCCTGCCACCACAGCCTCCGCTTGGCACCAGAGGAAGAGGGTGGTAAGTGGCTCTTTCCTGCTCATCCCATGAATCCAGGGGACCCTAGGCCTCCCCTGCCAGGCTCTGGGCATTTTCAGATGCTCACCCAACCCTTCCTGCCTCTTCACCCTCCAGCCCCTCCCCAGAGGCCCCAGGAGCCACTGATGGTCCAACCTCTGGCCAGCCTGGTGAGGAGCAGTCAGGCTGGGAACCTGACTAGTCAGTCCTGGGAGTTCAGAACTTCTTGGGAACAACCCCTCACCCCCGCCAGGAGCACAGAACCATCTGGGACTCCCATCCTCCCCCAGGGGTCTTGAATGGGAGACAGCCTGAGATTCCTGTCACCCAGCCCTTCTGTCTTCCCAGGCCAGCCCTGCTGTGCATTACTCACCCTCCTCACCTGTCTGGGGGGAAGCAGCTGAGTAGAGGGCCTGGGGCCCGCCCTCCTCATATGCGAACACATTTCCCCCATTTGCTCTGTTTGCCCTGGACTGTTCCTCAAACAGTGCGTGTTTCTGTGAACAGACATCCTTGGGGACATCAAATGGCCCTGCCTGCAGACCTCAGACTACCTGGCTCTGTCCCTAGCTCCAGTTCTGTATCCTGCTTTCACTGCCTCTGCAGCTTTCTGCTGTTGAGCTGAGATTAAAATATGGAAGAGGGACACTGGTTCTGACATTTATCCTGGTCATTGCCAGGTGGGTGAGGCCAATGTCTTCAATGGGCATCTAGTTACCTAGCAACAGTCAACTATCTGGAGAACACTGAGAAGAGTCAGAGCTTGGACAAACTGACCCCAGGGTCGTGTGTGCTCCCACCGTCCCCACTAGGGGCTGGGGTGGAGGTGGCATGAGACCTCGTGTACTTGTGTACCATCCATCTCCAGCGGCCCCAAGTGATACTGGGCAAAAGGTGATGGGGACATGGCAGCAGGGTGACACTAGGCAAAGCTAGCCAGAAAGTTCTCAGAAGCCACGTGGTCTGTGGAGGGCCCTGGAGAGGCGCCCAGCAGCCCTGTTCCCAGAAACGCTCCTGTCTCCCTATCCCTCCTCAGAGCAGTGCAGGCCCTTTCCCTCCTCTTGCTTCTCTTTGTTTCTCCCTCTCGGTCCTATGCTCCGCCTCCGTCCCTCCTCCCCTCCCCCCCTCCCCAAAATGACAGCCGGTGCTGCTCCAGGGGTCAGAATCTCTGCGTCCACGTCCACCAAGGACAGTGGAGAAGCCAATCGCTGACAAAGCCGCTTGCGGGAGCCTGGAGCAGGTTTAAGGCCGTCGGGCCTGGGAGGGGGGGGAGTGGGCGGGGAGGTTGGCGAAGCCTTTCGGGGGCGTGCCAAGTTTGGCCAATGAGTGTTCAGAGGTCAGGGTTGAGCCCTCCCAAAACTAAGGGGCAGGGAGTGGGCGGGGCCGCTCGAGGGAGGGGCCAGCAGTTAGGAGGGCGGTCCCATCCTGAATCACCCCAAAAGGGCGGGGCCGGGGCTCACCCCGGAAGGACAGGTGTGCTAGGTCTCCTAGGGCTCACCCCACGACAACCAGGGTCCACGTCCTTCCAGGGAAGCCAGGTACTCGAGATCACCCCGGAGTGGCCGGCCTTGGGTCCCGAACCCCCGCCGTGTCCGAGCTTCCGCTCGGCGAGTTGCCCCGAGGGGCTAGGGCCGTGCGGGCGGCTTGATTCCCGCACTACCAGGGGCAGGGCACCGGAGAGCTCTGCCGGCCCTCCGTGCTGCCGCCCCGCCCCGGCCCGCCCCACTCCGGCTGGTCCCCGACTTCGGAGTCAGTTGTCCACTAGCAAAATGTGAAAGACCTCAACGCGGCTGCAAAATCCGGTTGCTGCTGGTTGTGGGGGGCAGAGGGGATGGGAGCAGGCGGCACCCTGCCATAGGAAGTAAGGCAGAGCCGCCTGGGGGAGGGGCGGAGGGGGAAGCCTGGAAGGCTGCACTGTCTCCCTGTCCCCAACCCAGCAGCACTAGAGCCCCCCATGCTCTGGCTGCGGACCCCAGAAGGAAACCACAGTAGGCCTAAAAAGGCCACTTGCACTGCACAGCTCCATGAGTCAGCCCCATGTCCCCAGAAGGTGCCATCTGAGCAGCAGTAGGCAGCTACTGTGGGCCTGAGTTTCCTTCTAAAATGCGGCATGGGGTCTGAGCTGGCTTACACTTCAGGCTGGGCAGTGTCCTGTCTCCCTCCTTTGGAGGCTATGCTGGAGGATCTGGGTGGGGGTCTGGCCCTGCAGCACTGCCCTCCCTACAGCCTCTTAGCCTGGTGACTCAGCACCCTGGCCCAGATCAACAGGACTTTTGCCCCTTGCCTGCTCCTAAGGCTCTGCCATCGTCCTGGTCAGGATCCCTCCCGGGCTTCTCTCCAGAGCCACTCAGGATGCAGGGGGCTTCGGCCCACAGGACCCACCAGTCCCTCAGGACAATGGGCACTCTGGCCCGGCCCAGGGTCATCCTGCTCACCTACTTGCTGGCCGCCATGGAGCTCACCTGCCTCTTCATGCAGTTCTCTATCCTGCCGGTGAGTAGCCTTGCAGCCCGCACCAGAAGCCCTAGTGTCTCTCCTGTCATCTCCTCGGTGGCCCAAAGCGAGGGTGGAGGCTTGATGGGGCCAGGGCCCCTCCTGCTGGGGACCCCAGGCCACACTTGAGCTGAGTAAGTTAAGGGTCCTGGGTACTGTGCTTGTCGGCTCTCGTCACACTACTCTGACTGCCCACCACCTCAGGGAGCCGCTCCACAGCCTTCCTGGAGTGGCAGCCCTCCATGAGGCAGTTCTGGCTCTGCTCCTCCCACCAGACGACTACCTGGGGGCCTTGCCCTATTGATCCTCTGCCGGACACCTTTACAGTTCATGGCCTGGCTGTATGCAGGCCTCTGAGCAGTCACCCCTCCAAAAGCCTTCCCTGCACCCACCTGGAACCTTGGTGTCACTCCCTTGCACCCCATCCTGCTTCATATTTCCTCAGTTTCCCTTTCCTGCTTTCCCATACTGCATATCCTCTTTTGTGTGTCCTCTCTTGTTAAATTTCTCTCTCCACTGTAAAGGCAGGAACTTAATCCAATTAGTTCCCTGAACTCAGCCTGGCGCACAGCAGGCTGTTAAGAGGTCATTATTGGTTGCTGGTACCCACTCGCCTGTAGTTCAGTCTCACTTTGTACTCTTATTTATTCATTCAACAAACCTCTTTGGAACTGGCCCATAGGGGCTCAGCTTCCATGAACAACAACACCCAGGGGAGTCAGAAAGAACCCAGAGCCTCCACCACTCCAAGGTTCCTTTCTGTCTTGTCTTGGTGGGGCCATGGACCACCAGCTATTCCTCCCCCCCCCCAATACTGGGGAATCGAACTGGGGACCTTGCACTTGCAAGGCAGGCAGCTGCCATTCCTTTTAAGACAGGGTTCTCCCTTAGTTTCCTGAGCTGGCCTTAAACTTGATCCTCCTCCCTCAGCCTCCCGGGTAGCTGGGATTACAAGTATGCACCACCATTCCCAACTGCAAGTCACCTCTAAAAGTTTCCCTGGAGAGTCCTTAGGCCCAGGCTTGGTGACATGCTCTGTGCTGGACTCGAGGCCTACACAGCATGCCTGGACCCCCAGAGCAGTCAGCATGCCAGGCTGGGCAGAACCCAGGTGTCAGGGACCACATCGGCCCAGTGTATTAGTTTCCTGTCATTGCTGAGACAAAATACCTGACACCCAAAGTTAAAGAGGAAAGGTTTGTTTAGCTTACAGTTTGTAGATGTTTCAGTCCATAATTGGCTGGCTCCAAGGCAGGGATGGCAAACAGGCATCCCAGAGGAGAAACAACATGGCGCACCCAAGGCAGCAAAGGCAACAAGGGACCTTAACAGCGTCTTTCTGCTTCTTTTATCTCATCCAGACTACCAGGGATTAGGGCAGTGGCAAACCAATCACTCTCATGTTTAGTAATCACACACCTTTAATCCTAGCATCACACATTCTAGATTTAGCCACCTACGAAAAGACTGCATGAGGCTTTGGGGGGACAGCTAGACATAAGCCGCAGCACCCATAGTGAGGCCAGCTTCTTACATCACCCAGGACTCTAAAACCAAGGAGTCAGGCCAGTAAGCCCGGGGCTCCCACAAGCCTCAGCCCTGCTCTCACCCAGCCCTGGGGATCTGAGTGAGCAGGTGTGGCTGGGGAACCCCGCCCTGGGACCTCTCCCCACTGCACCTCCCAAGCCCAGCTCAAGCCCTGCGGATGACCTTGGAGCCCAGGCAGGCATTTGGCTGTTCTTTGTCATAAAAGGGTGCTGACTGTCCCTCCCTTGCTTGCCACACTGCTGCAGGGAGGAGTGAGCAAGCATGTGTGCCTGCAGGACATCGTAAGTAGTGATGACTGGCACAGAAAACATACTGTAGGGTTAAACCGTGAAATGGAAACATAAAAGTTAGGGAGCCCAAGGGACCTGAGAGCCCAAGGACACAAGGCAGTTTTGGGATCAGGGAGACTGGAAGGCCAAGAAGGCAACATTGGAGCAAAGGCTTGAAGGAGACTGGATAAGCACAGCAAGTGCAAAGGCCCTGGGGTGGAGAGGAAGGGTTCTAGACAGAGGGCCACCTCCACCAGAGGCTAAGATAGGACTCCAGGGTGGTGGTGGCGGCTCTGGGAGAAATGAGAAGTAGCTGGAATCCTGACCTGCTGATGGACAGGATGTGAGCGTGTTAGATAGAAAATGAGGGATGTCACTGGGGACTTGGGCCAGCACCCTGGGAAGGATGGGGAAGAGACAGCTCCAAGAGGAGCCAGTCTGGGAGAGGACGGTTGGCCAGTTCTGAGTCACTGAGTTGATTTCGGATGGCAAAGGGCCTTGGGGAGGAGCATGCTGGCAATGAAGGACAGGTCTGGGACTCTGCAGTGTGGACATGGCCACCGGAAGGGCTGTCCCTGGAGTGAGGGCAGGCTTGTGGCCAGGGTGAGCAAGAGGAACGAACAGAGGTAGCTGAGAAGGGGCAGGGGATGCAGGACAGTATGGAGCTCAGGGTCCCAGAGGAGGGAGGAGCTACCGAGGCAGATGCCACTGAAGTGGGAGGCTCCCGGAGCTGACCGCAGAGCGAGCTGCTGGGTGAGCACTGCTGACCTGGAGGAGGCAGAGGACGGTAGCTCCTCAGAGGACTCTTACTCCTGCCACAGGCTGCAGGGGAGTGGGCATGCATCGTGGGAGCCCCTAGGAGGGGGTGTGGAGAGAGAGGGGAGGGGAGCTTGGGGAGCCCTGTTCCTGGGGCAGTGAGAGGATGAGACGCGGCCGCAGAGAGGGTGATCAAATAGGCAGAATGGTAGGGAGGTTTGGGGGTGGAGTTCAGCTCCTCATGGCAGCGGGGGTGGAGAGGGAAGGGAAGGAGGAGACAGGGGCTTGGAGAGAAAGGAGAAAGTGGGATACAGCAGGATCCAAGGAGAGGAAGTGGAGGGGAGTGTGGGGTCCACAGGGCACAGACAGACAAGGTTCAGGCATCTCAGCTGGAGTCTACGGGCTGGAGCTGAAGGGACAGGAGGCAGGGAGTCTGTGGTGGGGGCCCAGGAGGTTACTGGTGGTCCTTGGGACTCCAGCCACATTGGGAGGGCAGTGTGAACAGGGCAAGCGTGCAGTTCTGGAGACTGAGCTCTGGGAGAGGGCCAGGTGTGAGGGCTCAAGGTTCCGGAGACTGAAGTCCAAGAGCAAGGTGTCAGTCAGAGCTCTCTCTGAGGCCAGTGATGGTGGTGTTGGTAGGGTCTGTCCTGCCTTCTCCATCTCCTGGTAGGCCGACATTCCTTGGCTTGTGGCTTCATCTCTTTAGTCTCTACCTCGTCTTCATGCTTCTTTTCATGATCATGTCTCTGGGTCTGTGTCCAATATTCCCCTCCTAAAGGACAGCTGCCACACAGGATTAGGCCCACGCTGGTGTCCTCATTTAATCTGAGTACCTCTGTGAAGACACTTCCCAAATAAGGTCACATTCTGAGGTGCTAAGGGTTAGGACTCCAATTTATGAATTTGAGGGGACATAATTCAGCCATAATAGGTGGGATCACAGAAAGGAGAGGCAAGGAACTCAGATGGGGGAATTATAGTCACAGAGAATGAGGGCAGGATGGGATCGGGGCCTGGGATCCCAGGGACTCTTCCCTTCTCTGGAAGGACACTGTCATGGCCCTGCTCTTCCCTGATGGCATCCTCCAAGGAGGGGCTGAGGACTTGGTCCTGCTGGCAGTGGGCTACCTCCTGGGGGTCATTAAAGTGCTTTGAAACAGTCTCTTCTTGGCCAGGACAATGCCTACAGTCTTCCCCATTGAAGCTTTGAGTGAACAAAGACAAATAGTAGGAAGTGGGACATTTCAAGGTCTGCAGAGGGGCAGAGGTCAGCAGCCTGTTGGGAGCATGGCATCCCTGGAGGTCACAACACTGTATCTTTGTGGAAGGGATCCCTAAAGGCCACCCTGGCCAGCAAACATCAGAGCCCATGCCCTGTGCTCCCTCCCAAGCCTGACCTTCTTAGCCTCTCCCCTGTCCCCTAAATGTGTTTCAGTATCTGTCCCGAAGACTGGGCCTGGACTCTGTTGCCTATGGCTACCTGCAGACCACCTTCGGGGTGCTTCAGCTGTTGGGTGGGCCAGTGTTCGGCAGGTACAGTGGGGAAGGGGATTGTGTGCCCCTCATCCCATGATGACCCAGGCCCCTCCTCAAGAGGGAGGTCCTGCCAGCTTCCCTGACTTCACAGCGGGCCCTATGAAGTGGCAGCTCCTGCATTTCAAGCAGGCAAAGGAGGTGTAGAAGAGCTTTGACCCCTTGTAGGCACTCAAGTGTCCCAGCCCATGGTGGCCACTAATTGTGGTTTGTGGCCAGAGAGGAGATTTAGTTGGTGAAGATCTCATGGTTGCCATGTCCAGTGCACTGAGCTGGGAGCCTCACCACCAGCTTTACTGCAAAGCCAATTCTGGAGACCCAGGCAAGAACTCTCATGTATCTGAGTGCTGCAGGAACTCTGGGCTGAGGACAGGGCCACAGACATCCTCTGGCCGACCTCACTGCCACCGAGCCACACAGGGCAAGGTGGCCAGTCACGTCTGAGGCAGAGAGCGTCTTTACAGGCTTGAACCTGTGTTTTCCCTAGGGACAGCACCTCGGTTACCCCTTAGCATTCCACCATTATTTCCATACTGGATCCCAATGCCCCCTGAACCAGACATCCCCAAAGCCACACCTGCACAGCCCCATGGGGACAATGGGGAAACTGAGGCCCCAAGAGGGTGGAGGCCTGCCCTGGGAAGATCTGCAGCTACCAGGGACCCTGTCCTTCCCTGCCACCCCAGCACACCCATCCTCCCCATCAGCCCTGCTCCGACACCACAGAGAAGGGGCCCTGCCTGCAGACTCCCAGGTTTCTAACCAGCTTTGTGGTCCCAGGTTTGCAGACCAGCGCGGGGCCCGGGCAGCGCTCTCTCTGTCCTTCCTGGCGGCCTCGGTGTTCTACCTGCTTCTGGCGGCCGCCTGCAGCCCGGCTCTGCCTGGCGTCCTCCTGCTCTTCGCCTCCCGGCTGCCCTCTCCATTCATGCACACGCTGCCAGGTAGAGACAGGTAGAGGGCCTGCGCAGGGGGCGGGAGGGGTGTGTGGCTTGAAGAGGGGAGTGTCAGGGGCGGGAAGGGGTGTGGGAATGTGGGTGGGGGCGGGCTTTGAGGTAGGGGCCCAACTGGGGCCCGCTGGCTTGGCCCTCAGCTTGGGCCCAGGTCTGCTCCTGGTTCAGCCGGTTCAGCGAGGTGGTCCCGCCGCTCAGACCCTATCCTGCCCCCAGCCGCCCAGATGATCATCACTGACCTGACGGGGCCGGAGGAGCGGCCTGCGGCTCTGGGCCGGCTGGGCCTCTGCTTTGGTGTCGGCATCATCCTTGGCTCCCTGCTTGGCGGGACCCTGAGCACCTCGTGCGGGTGAGTGACCAGGCGAGGAACTGGGTGGGGTACTAGTCAGGGCAACTGGGTTAGTTCCATGCCACTCTGCACCCCATGGCATCTGCTCTGCCCGCCACATCTCTGGGCGAGTTTTCCAGGCAGAGTAGGTCAGTCCAGCCGGCCAGGTGGACTGGAGCCCAGGGCCTCGCTGCCAGCACAACTGGAGCGGCTTCAGTAGGGACACAGAGAGGACCGTTCAGGGAGCCCAGCTGTGTGGGGGGCTAGGGAGGCTGCTCAGACCCCTGTGGACTGGGCACTCCTGCTACTCAGCCTCACTTTTTACAACTTTCAACCAGGGACAGTTCCTTTCCCACCCTGCCAGGAGCTCAAAGGTGGCTGTGACCCAGAGAGGGCATTGAGGCAGGGGCCCCTTTGAGAGTGCCCAGTGGGTCTCCGAAGGAGGGAGGAGGTAAGGATCCCTGGGTCATCTGCCAGCCATGCATGTGCATTTCCTCTTTTCTGAAATTGCATCCTATTAGGAGCTTGTAGACGGGTGAGAAGATTAATGAGTTCATTTTAAGGCTTCTACCTAATCCCCAGCTTTGCACATGGGGCTCATCCCAAGCTGTTTCCTACCTGACTCAGTTCCTGCTCAGCATCCCCAAAGGCCCCAGACTCATGGCCACTAGGGTTGACATATGCCAGTCCTGCCCGGTCCACCTGCAGTGGCATGGACAGAGCTGTCTAAATCAGCTGTTCTAGATGAGCCTCTTGGGAGAAGAGCTTATTCTCGGACCTTGCACACTTGGGCCTGAAGGGGCCTCACCTTGCTATGGGAAGAGAACCCCCATCCCATTCCCCCTGCCCCAGAACTCCTGCACCCTGGAAGTTGGCTTCTATCACCTGCCCTTTTGCTCAGGCCCCAGCCTGTCCTTTGGGTATGGAGGCATGCTGGGGCCAGTGCTTACACAGCTACTGTCTGGCCAGAGAAGCCTCTGGGCCAGCAGGTGCTTGCCCACTACCCAGGCCTGTGTGAGTGCCCTGGGGCTCTTCCGGGTAGAGCCTTCCCGGTGTCTGAGCCCACTGCATGCTTTGGGAGAGCCATCACCCTGTTGCCTCTAGACTCTCTGGTCTTGGATGAACACTGCTAAACCCTGGGCTTCTCAGGGACTGTATTCCCCTGTGGGCTCCCATGTAGCCCAACAATAGTGAGGGCAGCTGGATGATGGCTGGACCTGAGGATCCAGGCAGCGGGCTAGCACCATGGCTTCCTTACGGCACCTTCCTCTTTTCAGGGAGGTCTCTATGCATGGGCCTCAGAGTTTTTCTCCCACCACTTGCATCTGCCTGGATTTGTTGGCTCACTGATGTTTATTGAACATCTAGTCAGTGCCCCTGGGATTCTAGGTTCTAAGTTAGTGGGGAACATGCCATGTCTCTTGGTGAAATGTTGTGTCAGACTGGAGGTGCCTAGGGGAGGATCTGTGAAACAGGAAGAGGAGCTGAGCAGTGCTTGCTGAGGACCCCTGGCGGTGAGATCGGGCTGCATGTGGGAGGCACCCCTGGTAAAGCTACAGGGAAGGCCAGGAGGGAGGCAGGGGTGGGGCCTGGTGATGGGCAGAGGCCTACAGAGGGCAAGAGCTGTGGAGCAGCTGCCTCCCAAAGCCTCCATCTCTCCAGAGTGGCTTCAGTGAGGAGGGGGTGTGAAGCGTGTGCAGGTGGGGGCACTAGCAAGTTTCAGGGCCGGGTGCAGGACCCTCCCAGGATGCTACCTTATTCATGGTATGTGAAGCCCAGACAGACAGACGGGGTTACCTGGGGCACCCACCCTATGGCAAGGGCAGGATAGGGTCCCTCACCTGTGAGCTGGGCCTGTCTCCCTCACCGGCTCACCAATGCTGGCAGGGTCCACAGATCAGGGCTCCAGTGCTTGGCAGGTGGTGTGCAGGAGCAGGGCTTCTTGGCCTCTTTTCATCTCTAGATCTGAAGCCCTTTATGGCCTCCACGTTTCTATTTGGTGAGGCCAACCTCAGCATTTCCTCTGGTGGCTGGGGAAACTGAGGCCCGGGAAGGGGGGATGTTCAAGACCCAGGACTGGGCTTTGTAGAGTGGAGTTGGGGTCTCCTTCGGGGTCTCCACACCACACCCAAGACAGGGCCCACTGAAGTTCCCTCGTGGCCAAAGCCAACCCCTGAGCCCTTTGCAGCTGGCTGCCCGGAGCAGTGGGAGAGGCCAGAGGGAGCCTCGCTGTGACCTGGCTGAGGGCTCTCCCTCTGACCCATCCAGATGGAGCAGACCTCACCGACTCATGCTGCCTCCCCCCTCACCTGCTTTTGAGGCCAGAGGGGTCTGAGCACTGGCCTGGCCTATGACCCCCTCCCATCCCTGCCAGGTGACCAGTGGAGGTGGCTCCGGGGCCCGGGTGCCCCATGGCAAGGACCAACACCTAGCTTCCTGCCCTTGAGCAGCCCCGTGCCCCTAAGCCTGCCTGGCCTCCTGCCACAGCCTGAGGGAAGAGCCCCATTCTGCCTCCCCTCCCCCTCCTAGAGGGAAATTAAGGCATGATTTGGGGTCTCCCTGGCTGCTGCCTCTGGCCCATGCCTGGGTATCACATCCACCTGAAAGGCTCTCGGCTGTGCCCACCCCAGCTACCCAGGCAGCAGGTGGGAGGAAGAAGTGGATTTGGTACTGGGCCTGCAGGGGCAGGCGCCAGTATAACTGGTTTGGGCCCAGCCTGGGGCTGGGAAGCCAGGCTGCTCACGGAGGAACATGGGTCCATAGCCACTTCGCACACACCAGCCAGCAGGTGGAGTAGCCTCAGCCACAGAGGCCTCCACCACCCAGCACAGGATTATGGAGCCCTGCCCTGTGCCTGCCCCTGTTAGGTACATCATGGGCCACAGTGGAGCTGGATGGAGCGGGACTCTTTCCCTTGGGTCCTTGTGAGATGGAGGTCCAGCAGCTGGGATGCAGGCCTGAGGACAGGATGTCCTGGCCTACTCAAAAAGACACAAGGGACCTGGGTGACTGGAGCCCAGGGGGCAGGGACAAGGTCCAGAGGGAAGAAGGGGGTAGTGAGGACTCTACCTTTGCCTGAGTGTCTCAGTGGCCACTGCTGGTGCTGCGCATGGGGCTAATGGGCCTGCAGTGACATTGGTAATAGCATTCCCTGCTACTGGGGACTGGGCTGGACAGGTGCAGTGTGGCTGTATGTCCTGTGGGAAATTGAGGCTGCAGACTGGGGTGGGGTGGTAAAGGAGGGAGGCCATCCCAGGGAGCGGTCACTGAAGCCTGAGACAGGTTCAAACCCTGGATCTATTTGAGGGTGGTGCCAATAGGACTTGCTGAGGATAAATGTGAGGATCAGGGAGGACCCCAGGTTTTGGCTGGAGCAGCTGGAAGACAAGCAGCTTGATGAGGGCTTGGGGCTGGACATGTTAGGTTTAAGACACTATTAGGCATTCACGTTCAATGCCAAGGAGCAAGGAAGAGGCCAGACTATGTAGAAATAAATCTCAGCAGCTGGGTGTGGTGGCAGGTGTCTGTAATCTCAGCACTCTGGGAAGCTGAGACAGGAAGATCAGAAGTTCAAATCCAGCCCATGGGCCGAAGATTTAGCTCAGTGGTTCCACCGCCTGCCTCGCAAGTGCAAGATCCTGAGTTCAGTCCCTGGTGCCAAAGAAAACTAAACTAAACTAAACTAAAAACCCAGCCTGGGATTCTTAGTAACTTGATGAGACCCTGTCTCAAAATGAAAAAGAGCTGGGGAGTATATCTCATATCTCCGTGTGGAATCCCTGGGTTCAATTCCCAGTACTGAAAAGGGAAGATAAAGAGGGAAGGAGAGGGAGAGGGACAGAGACAGGGACAGGGAGAAGACGGGAAGAGAAAGGGAGGAGGGAGGGAAGGAAAAGGGAAGGGGAGCAAACCAAAGGAAAGGAGTCCCAGCTGCTGATGTGGGAAGTAATTGCATGAAATGAGGATTGGCAAACCAGGGCCCCCAGGCCAAGCCCAAGGTGCCACCTGCCTGTAAATAAGTTCTAAGGGCCCACAGCCATACCTGCTTATCTACATACAGCTTACAGCCACTGTCATACACAGGTCACAGGTTGCTTGGCGCTTGCACCAGCCGGACCCAAGGAGGATGGGCTGGTGAGGCACTGAGCCTCAGAGCAGCCTGTGAGCTGGGGGATTCCCTGATGCCCAGGCTCAGAGATGGAGGAGACCCACCTTCAGCCCCCCACAAGGCTGGGCCGCGGCCATGCAGCAAGTCACAGCCCAGCTCTCCTGGCTCTCAGGCCCCAGAGGGCTCTGTCCACCCAGAGTGGCTGAGATTTGAACAGACCCTAGCAACCTGGTGAGAATTTGAGAGCTGGGCTGGGGAAACATCCAACCACAGATGCTGAAGGTCAGGTGCCCCCTGAGAGTGGCCACCTGCTGGCCCTCCTGGGCACCAAGGGGCCCATGTGACCTTCAGCCCCAAACTACACCTGCAGAGTCTCTGGGGTGACTCAGCACACCTTGCCTGGTCCCTGAAGCCGCAGAACAGCGGCCTCCCCAACACTGGGATCTTATCTCAGGCCCTTGCAAGGGACAAGGGACAGAAAGGCTCCCACTCAGAGGAGGCTTCCACCCCCACACAGGCACTGCCGCTTCCCCTGGAGTTTGTTTGCCTTGTTTGTTTGTGTTATTGGAGACAAAGTCTCTCTATGTAGTCTATGTGGCCTCAAATGAACTTGCAATGATCCTCCTGCCTCAGCCTCCAGAATGCTAGTGTTATAGGCATGCTCCTCCACGCCCAGCTCCCCTGGAAGTTATCAAGGATATTCAAGTTCTCCTGGACAGGATTTAGATCAAGATTGACTCAGGGCCAGCCAGGCAGCCTGCCCAACATGCAGCTCTCGGAGACCATGCCACTGTGTCGCCAGACCAGAACCAGCCCTGGGGGAGAATAGAAAGACGCTCTCATTCTGAGTGCTGAGAAGCAGAGACAGGACAGGAGGCCCAGGGACAGGGTGGAGTGGGGATAGAACAGCCTGAAGTGGGTGGGCAGAGCCACAGGCTGAGGGAAAAGCCCATGAGAAGGCTCTGGGCAGGAGGGAGCTGGCGATTCAGTTAGAGCCCTGTGTGGTGGGGGAATAGAGGCTGGGGGCACTCGGGCTGGAAAGGGTTGTGAGAGAGGCCTTGGAGCACTGGTAGTTGAAGGAAGCTGTTAGAAGTGGCCCCTGGATTTCTGCCTTCAGACTTGATCCTAACTCCTGCACTATGGGGTATGGACCAGGTAGGGCAGGGTGACTTCCCCTGTCCGCAGGCTGCATGTCCAGTGGCTTTTGAAGTCCCCTCCTCTTGCTCCTTGTAGGCCAGGGCTCCATGAAGCTAGGGTCCCATGCGACCCCCACCCTGTGCCCTTGGTGGACAAGAAAAGAGTGCACAGCTGGGAGCCCCTTGCCATGCCTGTGGATTAGCTCCTGGCAGCAGGCATCTTGGCAACTACTGTCCCGTCTCAGAGCCAGTGGGAAAGGAACCAGTTTGGTGAGGAATTGTCACCCAAGAGCCAGGCAGGAGCCCAGACTGGTTGGGCACAGGGACAGGAGCAAAGTCCAAGTGGAAGAGGCCCAGGGCAGCCTGCCACCCTGCTGATGGTGTCACAGACTAGGCCCTGGAGGTAAAGATGACAGGCCGCCGTCACTGCCACTGCTGTTTTCCCGATGTGTGGTTACAGGTGCCAGAGGCCTCCCTGGGTGGCTGATGGGCAGGATAGAGGGTAGGCTGGATTCCAGGATGGCCGCAGTGCTTCAAGAGGGAGAGAAGGACTGTCAGTCCAGCCCTCATTTGCACCAGAGGAAATGAGGTCACCCAGCAGAGTAGCCAGAGAAAGAGGAGGGACCAGGTCATCCATTGAACCAACAGAAGGGGGTGGGAGTTGGAAGAAGATAAACCGCACTGTCCCTGCATACATCACCTTGGCTCAATTTATTTAGAAGTGTAGAATGAGCCAAGAAAAGCCAGACACATCCTGGAGTCTTATCCGGTGTCACTCTGCACCTGGTGGGTCTCTGGTGCTTTGACCCAAAGTCCCCTGGGGAGATGCCACCCTGTGCAGTGAGCCGCAGAGCTGGAAGAGTGTTCCTGAAGAAGTGTGTGCACAGAGGCCCCAAGGTAGAGGCTGCCCTGCTGGATTTCCCTTTTCTCCTGGTTTCCTGTCTGGCATTTCATTCTGCAGGGAGAAAGTGATGCCAGCTTCCCTAGGCACTAGCTGAATACGGCTCTGGGGGAGCTGTGGGCTCGGCTTCCCCCCAACACCTCCAGGGGCCCCTGGTCCCACCACCCAGCTTTCCTAGAGCAGCACTGTCCCTTGGTTTGCTGGCCACCATTCAAGAAACGGGCAAGACCCAAGGAGAAGGGGCCTGGCTCCCGGCCACCTACCCTCACTTGTCACCAGCTTCTCAAAATAGCCATCTGAGTGGCCGCCTCTGCTCTTGGCGCTTCCGGGGCATCTGGCAGAGAAAGCAGGTTTTGTCTCTGCCTTGCCAGCTCCAAGCGGTGACGTCTGGGCTGCAGAGGCCACAGTCCAAAAGAAAGGGCCTTCTCTGTGGGACCAGTCATGGGGGGAGGGGGATCTCCTGTTTCACATCACTTCCTGCAGCCCCTGAGGCCCCAAGAGGCCTCCCTCGGGTCCAGTGCCCTCTGGCCCTCTGTGCCTGCTGGTCAATGGAGAGGCCCATCCCTGAGGAACCCTGGTGCCAGATTTCCAAGTACCCTGTGTCCTGGGCAGGAGGCGTGGGGCAGAGTTGCCCTGGGTGTGTCGGGGAGCAGCAGATGGACACAGGGCAGCCCTCCCACTGACCACAGGAGCCCAGTGGTGCCAGCTGAGAAGCCAGGGTTGGACAAGGCCTGGCCTCTGTTTTGGTGGCCTCCTATGCATAGGTTTCAGTCAGTTCTGACAGAGGGGTGTGTATGTGTCCGTGTGTCAGTGTGTGTGTGTGTGTGTGTGTGTGTGCGCACTCAAGCAGCTATGGGGAGGGCAATGACTCCCTTGAAGGGGCACTGACAGCTTGGGGATGGCCTTGTTTGGAAGTTCAGGGCCACTTCCAGGTCCCTGACCCCACTAGTTCTGTGCCTTGGGGCCCAGATCAGGCAGATTTGGGGGTATTAGTGAGGTCTGGGACAGAACTTGGCTTGTCCTTGTGAACAGCTCTCATGTTTGCCCCTGGGCCCTCAGTTACAGGGTTTGTCTCAGACCTACCTACCCACAGGGCCCAGACTCTGACCATCTTTTTCTTTTTCTTTTTTGGTACTCGGGATCGAACTCAGAACCTTGCTCTTGCAAAGCAGTCTGCGGAACCACTGAGCTAAATCCCTGGCCCTCTGACCATCTTGTAAAGTGATTCCCCTGCAGAGGGCTGAGATAAAGCTGGGGGAAGGGTCATGGCCTCACTGAAAAGGACCCTTGCTGGAGGAGGGCCAGGGAGGCCAGAGCTTACCTGTTCCTTTGTCTGTCACCTAATCAGTGTGTCCTGAGGGTCTTGGGGACCTGGGTGGCTGAGACTAAACACCTCTGAAAGCTGAGGCCTCTGCCCAGGGACCCAAGCCAGACTCTTCCTGCAGGATTCACTGTCCAGCCATTGCGGCTTTCATGGCCAACCTTCTGGGAGCCGTCATCAGCTTCACCTGCATCCCTGCCAAAACCAAAGAGGCCAGCGTTGATGCCCAGGCTACCCAGCCAGGTAACCCTGTCCAATCCACCTGCAGAGGCAGGGCCAGTGGGAGGCACCTTCCCCACTGACTGCTAAGTGGTGCCTGCTTCAGCCATGGGTACTGGGGATGATGGGGCCCAGCTGGGGGCCACCCAACCCCTCTTGACTCCCTTGAGCCCTTCTTGATGCCAACACCTGGACAGCAGAGCTGGGTGTGGCTGTGGAGTCAGAGTGGTGGAGGCCCAAGGCCAGGGAGGCCTTAGGCAGGGAAGCTGGAAAGGCCTGGGGAAGGCACAGGGCAAGGTGGGCCGAAGGGTTGCTGAAGCTCTGAGAGTCTAGAGTGATGGGAGGGTGCTGGGCAGGGAACATTATGGAGACCAGGGGTCCAGAGCAGGGGCAGGGTGAGCCAGGTTGGCTCCTCAGAGGGTCCCCCTCCGGGATGACCTGTCCCAGGGCAGGACCCTGTGACTGAGAGCTCATCTGGGATGGGGAGACCCTAACCTGAGAGCCACCTGGGACAGGAAGCCATGATGGAATAGTCCAGAGAGAGGAAGGGCTAGACCCACTTCACGGGGAGCAATCTCTGTGTAGGCCAGAGAAGAGCCCAAGACAGGGGGACGGCCAAGCGCAGTGTGGAGCTAGAGACACAGCTCTGGAAAGTGTCCAGGGCCCAGAACATGCTTTGCTGGCCACAGTCACTCTCTGGCCTGTGCTTGTCCCTGGCCTGGCCTGGTTGGGAATAGCTGCCATAGTCACACAGGTTGGGGGACTGAGGGCTCCCTGGCTTGGGCCCAGGTCCAGGCCAGTTTACCTGAGAGCTGACACAGTGTCTCCTAAGCCCCTTGCAGAATTCAGGGGTTCCCGAGGTTGGCAGGAATGTGACAAAGTGCCCAGTGGCCACCCTGCTGAGGAGGGGGCTGTGGAGAATGTGCTCAGCTCCCTTTCCAGCCAGAGTGCCCAGGGAGGGGTGAAGTCTACAGCTGAGGCCAGGCCAGGGCCACCCACTGCTCTGACTTGTACCTGGGTGGCCCAGGCCTACCCAAGGCCAGTGTGTTTGACTTGAAGGCCATCACCCGCCTACTGTTGCTGCCCAGCGTCCTGCCTGTGTTCCTTGTGAAGGTGGCCTCTGGCTTCCCCTCAGGTGAGTCCAGACTGCCCGCCCCAAGGGCGCCCAGGGCCTGGTGCCTGAGGATGGAGCTCTGTGGCTGTCACGCCTTGCCTCTGCCCGTACCTGTGCTCCAAGCTGTCGGCACCAAGTCCCACCCTTGCTGCAGTTAGACACATGTGCCCCTGAGAGGGACACCGGCGGTGGGCTCACACGAGTGGGCTAGCTTAGATGGGAAGGAGGGAAAATCAGGTGTCCTCCCTGCTTCCCTGTGGCCCCTCCAGGTCACAGCCCTGGGGAACCAAGGCAGGGTCAAAGTGCAAAGACCCCTCCTCCCCACTTCCACTTCACATTCAGTTCTAACTGCCCACCCCCTTTGGTTTCTACATGCTGTTGGGACAGGCAGAGAGCCAGACAGGAAGTCTGACAGTACCCTAGCCTTCCAGAGACTCCTTTGTCGCAGCCATCTGGAGAGGGACACAGCCCCATGCCCCTCTGACGACCCTAGGGTGGTAGCACTGATGAGTCCACCCAGACTGCCCAGTGTGATGCTGTGACTTGGAAGCACTTCTGAGTCCTCTAACTGGCACTTCAGTAAGACCACCTTCAGAAGGGCCACCCTCTCCTAAGCTAAGCACAAAGTTCTACTGCAGCTTCTGCAAACTGATGCTGAAGCCCTGTGGGGCAGGAGGTGGGTGGCAGAGTGCTACCCAGCCCAGCGCAGGCCTGGCCAGGCCCTACTCAGGGGGAGCAGCCTGCTTCTGTCCCACCTGACCCACCTAGGGTGTTAGTTACAGAAACTGGAGCCCAAGCCCCCACTTGAGTGAAAGGAGCCTTTGCAGGCTCTTAGGACTAGGAGGCCGGGGTGGGTCCTGGGGTCAGGTGCTCCCACACGGCTACCCTGGGTTCCCCTTCCAGCTCACAGTCTACAGCCCAGCAGCCCCCAGGGAGCCAGTCTCCATGCCAGGGCCCCGGTAGAATCCCAGAGAACAGTCTCATTGGCCCAGCCACTGGCCAGGGCCCCAGATACCTTCTCTGAGCAGGCAGGTTCCCTCCTCAGGAGACAGGAGGGAGGTAGCACTGCAGCTGGGGGGCGGGAGACACCCACAATGTCCCTCACTGCCCCTCTGGTCAGGACTCTTCATGGTCATGTTCTCCATCATCTCCATGGACTTCTTCCAGCTGGAGGCCTCCCAGGCTGGCTACCTCATGTCCTTCTTCGGGATCCTCCAGATGGTGAGCGGGGGTCACGGCACAGGGTATGCTGCAGTGTGGGCAGGGGAGGGGGACCCACACAGGAGGGACCTTGAGGCCTGACTCAGCCTCCTGGAAAGAAACCCTGCTGCCCCCTCACACAAACGGACACCTTCTACAGTGTCTGCACAGTTGGCCCCAACCATATCAGTACATTTTCCCTCCTCTCTGCTCCCTTAGAGCCCTGCCACCCCACCCTGGCTCACCCTGCCTGAGGTCTCAACCCCAAGCATGGATGTGTGCCTGGGTCACTGCCCTGCCCCAGGCCCGTGCACCGACACCATCTGCCTGGGGTCCTGTCTGGGAGGGGAGGCTCATCTCCATGGAGGCTGGTGAGCCCTTGCAGCGTTTGGCAGCCCATCAGGGTCCATGGGCAGCCCAGTGCACCTCTGGGTGCTGAGCAGAGGACAGGGCAGGGAGGGATAAGGCACTGCAGACCCCAGTGGTGGGCGAGTTGTAAGCGTGGCTGGCTCTGGCTGGGTCTGCATCCTGCCCCTATGCGCCCCAGTCTTGTGACTGGAGCAAGTTTCGCAAACTCTCCAAGTCTCCATTTCTTCATTGGTCAAATGAGGCTAACTGTGATGCCCACCCCAGGGGTTGCTGGGCAAATGTGATGAGCTAATATGGCAAAGCCTTGAGTGCTGCAGGAGCTCCCTGAAGTGAGATGTGCTCACTCTGCTGTTACGCTGTCCTCACAGATTGCCATGGCCTCTGACAGTCGGGGCTCATGAGGTACCCATGGAGCAGTTAGAGGTGGTAGAGAGGGAAGCACCCTCTCTGAGCCCCCAGCTCCCAGCCCAGGGCAAGCCTGCCGCCCCACCCCCAGCTTCTCCTGGCCATCTGACCAGACCCTGGGGTGCTGGAGACAGGTGGCGACGTGCCGCCAGGGCCGTCGCCAGGGCCAGGGCGTCTGCCTAACAGCCGGCACGGGGAAGGGCTATTCTGGGACCAGCAGGGGAGGGGCTCCGGATCCCTCCGGAAGCGCATGGGATTCCCAGCACCTCCAGGCCATCTGCTCCTTGTGCCTCCAGGCCCAGGACAGGCCTGGACTCTGGTGCTAAAATAGCCACTCTGGGAGGGGCTGGTTCCCTGCTGTGGGCAAAGAAGGGCTCTGCTTTGAGGCTGGCCTGAAGGGGCCACCCTGGTGGGAAAAAAAGAAAGATAAACAATGACAATGGTGCTAACCCAGGGTTGGCGGTCACCATCACCAGAACCTTGTTTTATGCAGGTTGTTTCTAGCGTGCCTGGGGCCAGGCCACTCCAGCCTGTAGCAGCTGAAGTCTTCAGTCCCCTAGAGACCCTCAGTGATGGGAACTGGAAGTCCCTGACCAGTGCTGGGGAGGTGGGTGGGCTTGCACGGCTGCCTGTGGCTGCAGCCTTGTGACTATGTTAGGATGGTGACCCGAGAGAGCTGCACAGGATGGGAGAAGGAATCGGGCCAAGCCCGGAGACCCCAGCACAGGCTGGAGCAGGAGAAGAAGGCTGGCAGGGAAGGGAGGCCACAAAGGAGCAGGATGTGCCAGAGCCTGAGGCCCCAAGTCCTGTCCTGAGCTCTGTCTGTGGGCAGAGGGTGGGGGATCAGAGGGTGGGTTTTGTGTCTACAGAGAGAAGCCTGAAGCCACCTTCAACAGGCACCCCCCAACCCCACCAGGGTGAAGGTAGTCATTGAAAATCCCCAAGAGTTTAGCTAGGTGTGGTGGTGCATGCCTGTAATCCCAGGGCTCTGGGAGGCTGAGGCAGGAGGATCACAAGTTCCAGCCCAGTCTGGGCAACTTCGTGATGCTCTGTCTCAAAATAAAAATAATAATAATAAAAAGGTTGAGGATGTACTGCAAAGAATAGAATAGAATATTCCCTCAGAGTTGGCCCCCCAACACTTGCACCTGCAGCCCCCTGGAAATCATTTCCTGCCCCACCTCAGGGTGTTGCTGCCTTAGCCACATTCTCAGGGCCCCAGCATCCCACCAAGGCTCCCAACCAGGTGAGGGAAGTGCCACTCGGATGGTCTAAGGTGAGGGACAGGTGACAGCCCAGCAGGCTTGCTGACCTCTGTCCCCTAAGGGACCCTTGGACAGAGACCCATGGTGACCCAGCCAACTGCCCTCACCTGTGGCTGTTCCTGGACACCAGGCATTCAGAGAGCACTGGCAGGGGCAGCACAGAGGTACTAGGGTGCTGAGTGGGGCCCTCGGTGACCATATTATGTCATGTCATAGGTCCAGAGGTGCCGCCTTGAGTGAGGTAGTTGAGGTAGGGGCTTTTTTTGGAGCAGGCTGGAAAGTAAGGAAGCTGTGGGGACATTGGGCTAGGGGGTTGGGGGACAAGTGCAAAGGCCCTGAGGTTACCCAGCCCTGGTAAGCAGGACCAGGCTTGGGTGATGCGTGTGCTAGTGTCCTCAAGAGTGGGGTGAATGGGTTACAGAAGAGGAAGGACCCCTTTTGCTTGGGCTGCTGTGTAGAAGAGGGGCAGGTGCAGAAGCAGGAATGTCTTCAGGCTAGGTGACCATTTGTGACAGTGCAGGGGGACAGCTGGGAGGGTGCAAGAAAATGACCCACCTGATCTATTAGGTATCTTCAGTTTTGAAGCTGTTTCTCAATTAATGGCGAACTGGGATGTGACACCAGTTGGGATTTGGGTTTTGGTGCTTGTCTGAAATGCCAAGGCCTAGCTTTTAATCTTTCATAGTCTAGTGCTTTCCTTGCAGGTGTATCACACTAAATTTTAAAAACAAAAACAGTGCTAAGTGCCATGGCACACACCTGACTCCCGGAACTCAGGAGGCAGAGGCAGGAGGATGGTGTGAGTTTGAAGCTAGCCTGAGCTGTCTTTAAAACAAACAAACAAAATACAAACATAAGATAAAGTTTTAGTTTGAAAGTAGAATTCTTTTTCTCCCCAGTCCTGGGGGTTGAACCTTAGGGCCTTCACACTGGGCTACAGCCCAGCATTTTTATTTTTATTTTTATTTTCTTTTCCTTTCTTTTTTTTTTTTTTTTTTTGAGACACAGGCTCTCAGTTGCTAAGTTGCCCAGGCTAAGCTCAAACTTGCAGTTCTCCTGTCTTAGTCTCCAAGAGTGCTAGAATTATGGGTGTATCACTGGGTACATCTAAGGACTTTTCTTTCCCTCCCTCCTTCCTCCTTCCCTCCTTCCCCCTTCTCTCTCTCTCTTCCGACTACTTTTTTTCTCTCTTTTCTTTTCTTTTTGAAGGTTTTAAGGTTTTTTTCTTTGGTTTTTGCGGGGGACAAGGTCTTGCTATGTAGCTTAAGCTGGCCTTAAACTCACTATGTAGTTCAGGCTGACCTCAAACGCATGATGAGCCTCTTGCCTCAGCCTCCCCAATGCTGATATTACAGGTGTGCACCACCACACCCAGCTCCAGAGATTCTTTTTGAAGATGGATTTCCTTTGGCAGCAGTGGGTTATCCCAGGCAGAAGTGGGGAGAGTGACCAGGCTGGTTGTGCAGGGCTGGGCCTGCCCATGTGAGCCCTGCCCTGGCAGACGCTGACTCCAGCCACCCCTTCCACTCCAAGCCTGTGGCTACCACTCCCCTCCTGCCCTTTGGCCCTGGGCACTTCCTTCCTGGTGGAGGAGGTGAGTTGACCAGATAAGGAGCCTCACCCTCACCTGGGAGTGGCCCAAGGCTGTCCTGCTGAGTCATGTCCCTATGTCCCTGGGTGTCCCCCATATGGACTTTCCTTCTGCCCTCTGGAGAACAGCCCATCTTCCAAGAGACCTTTGGCCCCTCCTAGGTGCCACAAGGCTCAGCCTTCTGCCTGGACTCAGCTCCTGTTGGGGGCTGTGGATGGTGGGGGCATTCTCTGCCAAGAAGGGTCCCAGCCACCAGTCTGGAGGTCCCGCCACTGTGGAAGAGCAAATCATAGTCCAGACCCCCACACAGTGTCCCCCACAGCCACTTCATCCCCTCACTGTGCCTAGGTGACCCAGGGCCTGGTCATCGGGCGGCTGAGCCGACACTTCTCCGAGGAAGCACTGCTCCGAGCTAGCGTGCTTGTCTTCATCATGGTGGGACTGGGCATGGTGAGTGCTCTGCACCTCGGGCTGTCCCCACAGAGAAGTGTCCCTGTCCCTCCTCCCCTGTCCTGGCCACCTGTACCAGTAGCAGTGGCCAGGGTGAAAGGGAACAGATGGGGCTTCCAGATAGGCCCCCTCCTGGCCCTGGGTGGCCCCAGCCAAGTGTGGTGCTCCTCCTCACCCCCTGCCAGGTGCTGATGTCCAACATCCTCCACTTCTGCTTCCTGATGCCCGGCCTGGTGTTCAGCCTCTGCTCACTCAACGTTGTCACCGACAGCATGCTGACCAAGGCCGTCTCGGCCACAGACACAGGTGAGTGCCACACCTTCCTCTGTGGGATTCTGCTGAACTGACCAGTGGATGCACAGGGGCTGAATGGCCTGGCATCCTTGCCCACCACCCAGTCTAGGACCAGGTAGGGCAGGAAAGGAGGGCACTGGGGACTGGAGTGTGGCTTGGCTGTGACACTTGGGCAGGATTTTGCTGAAGGAAGAGAGCTGGATAACATTCTAGGCAGTGCCCACTGAATACAGGTGTGGATGTGAAGGGTCCTGGCAAGGCCAGTTAGGGGGACAGAAATGGGCGTGGCCAGACAGGGACCAGGGGGGGCCTTCCCCTCCCCCACTCTCACAAGTGCTCAGGGCTCCCAGAATAAGGGCATGAGGACACACTGCCTGAGGGCTTTAGGACTCCCCAGCTTCCTTTCTGGAGGCCTAGGAGAGCCTCCACCCAGACTAGGGGTGCCCTGATCCTACTTCCTCCCTATCCAAGGCAACGCGCAGGTGCACACTGGCTGGGTCAGGAGCTCCTGTGGGCCGAACAAGGTCAAAGGACTCAGAGCTTGTCCCAGGCCTCCTGCAGCAGGGCTAGAACACTCAGGGAGCCAGGTTGGCCTTTTGTCCACCTGGCATCCCAGGAGGGGCAGGAAAGGCAGGCCTCTCAGGGCTCCTGGGGCCCTGAAGCCATTCCAGGCCTGTGATGCCATGGTGCTAGGACAGCAGGTCTCCAGATGACTAGGCCCAGAAGGCTTCCTGAGGAGGTAGCCTGTACTTTGGAGAGGCTAGGTGGAGGAAGCAGAGGATTAAGGCCTGAAGAGAGGAGGGTGGGGCTGGTAGGGAGAAGCAGGCTAGGCCACCAGGGCCAGGCATGCCCTAGGCACTGCTCCTCCACTGGGAAGGAGCAGTACCTGGTCTGGTCGGGCAGTAGCCTGGGAAGCAGAGACAGGGAGGAGGCGGTAATTGCCCAAGTCTGCAGGCGTGTGGGCAGTGGGAGAGGCTGCTCCTGAGTTTCCCCACGCTGGCCCTGAGTGTGGGCGGGGCCTTCCAGGCCTTTGTCCCTGTTGAACTCTAGAGATCTCTGGGCTCTAAAGCCTGAGAGCCAGAGACCTCCCAGGCCATGGAGAGCAGATCTTGGGGACCTGGGTATTAGGCAAAGGGTGTCTTCCAGTGGGGACCTAGCAGAGGGGGCTCTGGCTTAGTGAATGCTGCCCTCCATGCTGTCCGAAGGTTGACAAGAGCCACACACAAGCAAGTCAACCCTGGGACAGCTGGCCAGAGGTGTGGAGACCTGGGCCATCAGGCAAAGTGCTTACATGCTCAGGTGGGCGCCCACAGTAGGGTGAGCATTCTCTCTGGGCAGGAGAGGCAGGTGGGGGCCCGTCCTGTGTTCCTTAAACCCCCTCCCCTGTCTTACAGGGCTTCCATTGTGGGTCCCTGGGGCAAAAGTGGCTAGAGGAGAGGCTGGTGGCCAGGAGAAGCTGTGGGGGTGGCACTGAGGGCGTTGTGTCCTCCTAGAGCCCCAGCCCAGAGTCCTATAGTGGCTCACAGGACTCCCCAGCCAGATCCTCCCCTCCCTCCCAGGCACCAATGGGCCATGCCAGACAGCTCCAGCCCCTGGGTCCTCAGCACTGCAGAGTCTGGCAGGGAGCCGGGAGAGCTACCTCCCCGGATGTCCGGGCGGGCAGCTCCTGGCCCCAGGTGCAGATGCCATCTCCCTTGGCAGGCCTGGGAGGGTGGGGCCTGCCCCCTGACCTGTGGCCCCATTCCCAGGCTCCTCCCATGCTTGGGAACTTTCCAGAGCAGGAAAGAAGTTCACCCCACACCTGGGGAAGAACTCTACAGGGTCCTCTGTGTGGCCTACTAACTTACCTGTAGGTGGCGGGACCCCCCCCACCACCAAAGGTAGGGGTGGGACACAAGGCGAGGAACGTGGGGTAGTGGGGTGCTTTGGGGGCATCTCATGCCAACCAGGAAATGCAGAGACTGAGCTGTGATGTGTGGGAAAAGATGGGAGGCCAGGCTGTCTAGGCAGTGGGTACCTGACTGTCACCACCTTCCCCCAGGGACCATGCTGGGCCTCTGTGCCTCTGTGCAGCCGCTGACCCGCACCGTGGGCCCCACTATAGGTGGCCTTCTATACCGAAACTTTGGTGTCCCCATCTTCGGCCATGTGCAGCTTGCTGTGAATTTCCTCATCTTCCTGTTCCTCTGGAGGAAGCCTATGTCCCAGAAGGGGGACAAAGCTAAGTGACCATGGTCCCTGGGCACAGATGGGCAGTAAACTCCCTTGAGACCTCTGAGACCTCTCCTGACCTGATTTCTGCAGGCCATCCCTGTCGGGAGGAAGCCTGGGGATGCGGGATGGACCCTTGGAGGCTAGAAGGCTTCCTGGAGGAGGAGGCTTACAGTTGGGCCCCAGAGCTCTGGGGATGACAGAATCACTGCTGTTTTTCCCAAGTCTTTAGTCAGCCCTTGACTCCACCAACCTGGTGAGTGAGGAATCCCCCTGCTGCCACCAAACAGGCTCACACACAGCCCTGGAGATGGGAGCTCTCTACAGCCCACAGCCCTACCCATAAGCACAAGCAGGTTGGTTTAAAAGATCAGGGAAGCAAGGCTTGAAGAGATGTGTTGGGGAACCCAGTTACACACCAATTCCCCCAGACCTACACTGGGGATGCTACCTTGGCCCATCTCGCCATGACCCTCCCTGATGGGCACCCCTGGCCACCAGCCCTGAGCCAGGAAGGCAACAAGACCTGACAGCTGGGGGCCAGCTCCAGCCCCTCACCCCCACCCCAGCCTTGGTCTGCCTGGAGAAGGGGCCCTGACATAGGGCCGCCAGGCCAGCTGTGAAGACTGAGTGACCAATCTGGAGAGAATCAACCAATGGACTGGGGCTACAGAAGCTTCTGATACCCTGAGACCATGCAGGCCCTCTACCCCCACACTGACCTCTTTTGAAAGAAGTTGTTAAAACTTGGAATCCCTTGGGCCGGGGATTTAGCTCAGTGGCACCGAGCTTGCCCTGCAAGTGCAAGGTCCCGAGTTCGATCCCCAGTACCAAAAAATAAAGAAGAGCACACGGGGACAGAGAGGGGACAGAGAGGGGACAGAAGGCCTTCCGGTGGGTCTGCCAGCCACTCCTGGACAGGTGGTATGTGGGTGGGAGGTGCAGTTGAGGACAGCCACCTCCACTGGCAGCAGCTCAGGTCTGGGGGATGTGTGCTGGCCTCCCCTCCAGCGCCAGTTAACTGCCCAACTAAGCACTGCTACCGGCCATGTCCTCCGCCAACCACACCCAGGAGCAGAAGGTAGCCAGGCCACACCCAGGGCACTTCCTCTGGGGAGGCTGTGGACCTGGCCCGGAGGATGACGGTGGATATTCATTCAAAGCAGGTTTCCATGCCCTTTCTGAGCAGCCCCGCCTGCAGTGTCTCCAGACTGAGACTAGATGAGGGTGTCCCTGTCCCCAAACCTCCCCGAAGAACTCAACTGAGCCACAGCCACTGGTAGAAAAAAGAATTCATTTATTTGGAATGAGACTCTGGTGCAAAAACAAAATATTAAGACAGAACGATTTGACGACAAATAACCATCAAAATAAATACATAGTCCAATAAGTTAACATGCCCGCGCAGCAGGCGAGGTTCCGCAAGCATGGAAGGCCCTTCGCAGTGGGCAGGGAAGCGGCCGTCTTGTCCTCGGGAGATCAGCGCGTGGGTGGCCCACTCGGGCTCCCGCTGTCCCTGGTTCCCGCCCGACGCGGCCATACGGCCGGTCCGGCCTGACTGGTGCCGTGTGTGGCCCTGTGGAAAGAGGACCGGGTCAGGGAGCTGTGCGGGAGGGGTCTGGGTGCCGCCTGTGGGTCCCCTGGGGGCAAGGGGAGGCCTCTGCCGCGAACCTGAGACACTGAGATCGCGAGGCGCCAGGGCCTCTTTCGTAATTGTCCCTAAGGCGAAATTGTCCCCGACGTTTGAAGTTTTCCCCAAGGATGCGGGTCTCCGGCTAGAAGGTCTCGGCCCGCACCCTCCAGGGCGTCCCAGAGAACCCGGCCGACGGCTCAGGGCGGCACTCACCGAGGCGCGGGCTCAGGGCGCGCGGGCCGTCCGGGGCTCGGGCTGCGCGGCGGGCACGGCGCGCTCCTGGCGGCTGCGGAAGCCCTCCAGGGCGCGGCGGTTCTGGAAGTCGATGAGCGCCAGCGTGATGGCCGCATTCCAGCAGCTCTCGCCCGCGCAGCGGAAGTCGATCTCCTTGCGGTCTGTGGTGACGATGGTGAAGTAGACGTACTTGCCCGTGCGCTCCACGCAGTCCACCTTGAGAATGGAATGGAAGCGCAGCTCCTTGGGGCGCGCACCCGGCCCGGCAGGGAAGAGGCGTAGGCGGTCGGGGGTAAGTACGCCTCGCTTCTTCTTCCACAGCTGGAATAAGCTGTCGCTGCGCTTCTCCAGTTCGCCCTCGCGCAGCACCTCGCTGGGGGTCTTCATGTCTCAGGAGAGCTCAATCGGCGGAGGAGACGACAATGAGCTTCGGAGGGCCGGGTGGCACTTATATGTGCCCCGCCCGGCAGGCCACGCCCCGGCCCGTCCACTGCCCTGCAAGCCACGCCCCCGAGCCCACCCCGCCAGGCCCAGTTCTGCGGGCCGGGGGGGCTGCACGCCGTCTCCCTAACCCTGATCCACCCGGGTCCGCCTCTCAGTCCCTGCGGCCCTCGCCCCTCCAGCCCCCGACGTCCCAGCTGCTGGGCCCGGTGGGGTGACTCGCGGTCCCCACCCGCCCGGGCGCCGACTCCGCAGAGGAATGCGCTGCAGCCGGCCCTGCCCGCGGTGACTCACACGCTGGGAAGCCCCGGAAAGCTCCCGCGAGTCCCAATCCCGGACGGGAGACGGTAGGGCTCGGACCCCATCCCCAGGCTCCCCGAAATCCAGCCCTGCCTCTCCAGAGATCCTGGGGGCAGAGGGTCGCAGCCCCCCTCGTTCCTCCCCAGACTTGGCTGTCCAATCCCTCTCGGGGCGCCACTCGGACTTCCCAAAACCCTCTCCAGAAGCGACCCTAACCCCCACAGAGCTTTCCCAACTTGCCACCCAGAGGTTGCACCTGGAGGGACCCCCTCCCTTCCCGGAGCCCGATTTTCCTTCTATAAAATGGGGATAGTGACCTTTACTAAAGTGGGCAGCTCGGGAGAGGGGTGAGAACAGCACCTCAGTGCTCAATCTCAGATGTCTGGAACTGGGAGACAGTCTCCCCGGGCCGAACAACCCTGTCGGCAGAGCCCCGAGAGCCGGGAGCTGGGAGTAGAGGGGTACGCGGGATGCGGGGCGGACCCTGGGGACAAGCCTCCGGGGGCGGGGCGGTGGGGGTGGCTGAGTCATCGCCTACCGGGCGGTTTTATTTACTCTCTTCCTTTAAAGGGTTTAATTGGAGCAGGAAGCCAACGCCAGCTCCTCCTGGGTTCCCAGGGGTGGGGGTGGGGACTACTGAGAGGCTCTGGGGACCTCTGTGGGTCGGGCTGCTCCCAGCGCCCCCACCCAGCTGCAAGGAAGCTCTAGGCTAGAGATGAGAACCAGTCACCCCCAGCCTCAACACTTTCAGGGATGGTGCAAAGTAAAAGCATAGGTCCCTTGGTTCAAAAATTTCAGGGCAGTGACAGCAGAGCCAACGGCGCTCCACCCTCATCACGACTCTGGGCAAGCCCCCTACCTTCCCAGGGTGCAGCGAGGACCCTGGCCCTTCAGGGCCCCTTGGAGGAATAAAAAAGCCCAGGACCAGCTTCAGTAGATGGCATCCAGGTGGTGGCTACCCAGTAGTCCCCACTTTCGTGGCCAGAGGACCCTAGGTGGGTGGAAGGGCGGAGTGCACAAGAGGCAGAACTGGGTTGACCAAGGATTCTGGCTGTGGAGGGCAAAGACATCTGCAAACTGCTGTCAGTGCATCTACTCTGCCTGGTCCTGTGAGTGAGCCCACCAGAGGCTTCGAGGATGGCGAGACATTCCCAGCAGGAACCTTGGCTAAGAGGTGGTGAGTTCCCTGTCACC